ACCCATCTTTCGTAAAAATTAATGGCCTTATACATAAAAAATAGAATAGATCTCTATAAAGTGACATTTTCATAAAAATTTTCGATTTATAAAGCAGTTAAAATGTTCTCCATTTTTTATAAATTTTGGGGTTATTCTATAAGCTTATTAGACCCCAAAACGTCTCAATATTTTCGATCAAGTTTTAATATCTCCCACTGAATAGATACATATATATTTTCTCTTTGTCATGTCTCAAAATTTGTACTACGCGGAAAATTTAAGTATTTATCTCGCGAAATGAGCGAAAGAATAAAGTATCTTCTGAAAATTTGCACAAGCACGTTCACTTTTGAACTATATGGATCTAAACGGCAACACTGGTTAGTATCCAGTATCTGGCCGGCCCACTAAGGGGTATTTGAGCCAAAAAACCGGTCAAAATTGTTTAGGGGCCTATATTATCTCAAAATACAATAAAAAACAATATCTAATCAATATTTTGGATTTATTAATCAAAATACATAAAAAAAAAACAGAAAACAAATTTTTTTAAGTAAAAATTTTAGAAAATTTGATTTTATTATGGAGTCAGTGCCATCCGATTCGCTGTTAAAATCCGAGTCCTCTTCATCATCATCAATATCTTCAACAGTATTGTCGTCCGACCTATTTAAGTTCGTTGCAGCAATCAAAATGGTTTTGCCTCGGCGGAAAATGGCAAGATTTTTTTTTTATTCTTTGGCCGGCCGAGCTGAGAGAGGATCGGATGTTAAATGTAATCTCTTTAAAATGTCTCTGTTGCACTCAGTCCTCGAAAATTTTCTTGCAAAGTCTACCCGATATTTGCGAATATTCTTATTTCGCGCCTCAGCGGCTTGCGCTCCGTGCATCAGAATTTTGTGGACTGTAGGCGACATTGGATGCCAGCCGTACAATTCCACATACAGTTTGGCAGTGTCTTGGGCTTAATCATCAAAATTTTTGGTGATCAACCTCATGGCCACTTGAGATTACCTCAAGAATCACTTTAAACTTAGTGATTAATTCCAAGGTGATGCCGGTAATGCGAGAAGAGCATTCTGCATTTTGGAAAAATCTCCTGAACGTATTCCCATCATTGCTATTTCCAAAGCAAGCTTTAGGAACATCAACAAGTATACCCATTTCTTCTCTGAAAGATTTCTGTAATTTCTCTTTTGTTTCTTTAACAATCTTTTTCTCTTCCACTGTACGGGCTTACCACTTCTGGAGGGGTTGTTTATATGCTAAATGCAGCAGTGTCTCAAATAACGTAATCTGGCATGGAGTACTGAGAGCCCAAACTTTAGGGCTTCTTTTTTAACGGCACCTTGCTCTAGTTTGTTAAAGTCCTTTGATGTCTGGCCGCATATGTAACATCGCATAGTTGATGCAGTGTCCGTTGCGGAGTTGCAGGCCCTTCCGTCTACCATTTCCAGCAAAATATTGTGACTGATTTTCACTGATATATCACTGCCTACAGATTTTTAGGTTGATTTTCGATGTATTATAAAAGAAAAAATTTAAGAAAAAAAAAATGTTTTTAAAAAATTTTGCCTTTGACTAAAAAAAATTTAAAAAGGTTGGGGTGAGTCGGGGGGAAATTTTATTTTTCATTTAGATAGGCAAAGGTTCAAACTTTATTACCACATTTTAAATGTAAGGCGACAAAGCCCGACACATAAACAAAAACACTATTTATTTTTGTGTTAAACTTTTGTTAAAAATACCACGTTTTTAAGAAGAAAATTTTCAACATAAGTCTAAATGCGGAACTTTGACAAGAAATTAACTGTAACATATTTTTATACAAAGTACATACCTTCAACACCCATATTCAATACGAATTTTTCTGGTAATTCAACATACGAAGACATATTAACACAGAGAAATATGTAAAATAATCAAAAGCGCCGAGAACAAAGACACACGTTACACACAAAGGCTAGGTTCCGACTGATTATGTGGCCAGACGCAGAAAAACACGCGGGGTTGGGGGCTGGGAGGCGGTGAACCGGTTATCGTACTTATTTAAACATGCATTGATTGTGTCATTTTATAAATAAATAAAAAAAAAACACTTTTGACCGGTTTTATGCTTCAAATACCCCTTAGTTCGGCCGGACAGTTTTTCAAAATTATTTTAAGTAAACGAATCGTTGTTAAACTTAGAAAATCGTTCTATTAGTAAACTGATTGAAATTAATACTCAAAATAAATTCATCAGCTATTTTTTGTTTAAATGCCTCTTGAACGGAAACAATAACATATTGGATTAGGCTGACTGTAGAAAAACCCCCTTTCGATTTGGATGAAATTTGGTCAGAAGTTTGCTTTCAACCTGTAATGAAGTTCCACCAACAGAAAAAATTAAAAAAAATTTTTGCAAAAGTAATACGAAATTTTAATTTTCACTATTTTTCCAGCTTTTAAAGTTAATTTTTTAAATATCTCAAAAACTTATATAGCTATAAAAAACATCTTGGACACGTTTTAAAGAGGATACTTGGGGCTAATACTATATGTATGAAAAGAATATGTATATTGAAAAATATAAAAAAAAATCAAAATTTAATAAATCAAAAACTAAAAATTTTTGGGCTAAGTTTTTTTGCAAGGTACCTTTGAATGTTCTTAAAAGACCCTAAAATTTTCAGTTAGGTGTTTTTTGTAAGATATGAAGTTTTGAGTTTTGGTAAAAACAAAAATTGTCTTCGCAAGCTATTAAAAAAATATTACACTTTGCAACAATTTTAGGGTCATTGAATCTAACGGGATGAGGCCAACACAGATGTGTAGTGCTGGACTAGTGTAACAGAACCCTAAGGGTCATTTGCTCAAAGCCTGGTTGACACTAATCTCAGGTTAACATCTTTATCGACGTCTTTGACTCCATGCATATAACAGGGTGTCAGTAACGTCGATAACCATTTTTAAGCGGAGGTTAGTGTTAACCAGGCTTTGAGAAAACGGCCCTAAGAATGTTTTGAAAAGTTAGCTCACTTTTAGAAGCTATAGCCGGTCAAAGTTAAGCTTTCTCAGCGTATTTTTCCAATTTCTTTGCATACGACCTATTCAGAACAAGCAAAAGCAACAACAACTATGACACGAAGCAACTGGAAGGCTCTTCGCCAAAATAGTATCTAAGTCGAACTGAAGCATTCTTAGGTAAAATATTAACTTAGCTGCAGAGCTGACAATTTAGCTCTTTTTCCTTCTAATCTGGCTTCTTCGAAATTGCGGGAAGCGGGAAATCCAACCTTTTCAGAAATTTTTGGACGGATTTTTAGCTTTTTTCCTTATACAATAAGTACATACATATGTACTTAAAATAGCCAGATAATTTCGATACGATTAAAAAGATAATCGCTCCTATTATGGTTGTCGACGTTGACGTCGATGTAATTTTTTCGTAAAACGAAACGAGGAACACATATCCGCAAAAATACTGTAGTCAGCGTAGCTGGCGTTGGACTTTCGAGGGCTATTTTTTGTCGAAAAGAAGACATCGACGTAAACTTCGCAAACCGTAATAGGGCCGAATATGTTTCCAATGGATAATGTTTTACGTACATCGCACGAGGAGATAGAATATGTTATAACTAGGGTTTTGGCATGTACCCCACCGGGACAGTACCCTGTGCACACTGCAGTATGTTTGTTGGTATATATTGTATAAGGAAAAAAGCTAAAAATCCTTCCAAAAATTTCTGAAATGGCTGGATTTCTCATTTTCTGCCGCTAAATGGGCTTCGAAAAAGCCAGATTTGATGGGAAAGGAGCTAAATTGTCAGCCCTAAGTTAAGCAGATAAGTTAATGTTTTACCTGAGAATGCTTCAGTTCGACTTAGATACTATTTTGGCGAAGAGCCTTTCAGTTGCTTCGTGTTATACTTGTTGTTGCTTTTGCTTATTCTGAATAGTTCGTATGCAAAGAAATTGGAAAAATACGCTGAGAAAGCTTAATTACCCTAAAATTGTTGCAAAGTGTAATATTTTATTAATAGGTTGCGAATACAATTTTTTTTTACCAAAACTCAAAACTTCATATCTTACAAAAAACAAAAAAATACCTCCTTGAAAATTTTAGGATATTTTAAGAACATTCAGAGGTACCATGCGAAAAAACTTAGCCCAAAAAATTTTAGTTTTTGATTTATTAAATTCTTAAATTTTTTTTTATCTTATGCAATATATTCTTTTCATACATACATTAGCCCCAAGTATCCTCTTTAAAACGAGTCCAAGATGTTTTTCCTAGCTATAATAGTTTTTGCGATATTTAAAAAATTAATTTTAAATGCTGGAAAAATTGTGAAAATTTAAATTTCGCATTACTTTTGCAAACATTTTTTTAATTTTTTTCTCTTGCTGGAACTTCATTATAGGTTGAAAGAAAACTTTTGACTAAATTTCATCCAAATCGAAATTGGATTTTTCTACAGAAAGCCGAATCCAAGATGTTATTGTTTCCGTTCAAGAGGTATTTAAACAAAAAATAGCTGATGAATTTATTTTGAGTATTAATTTCAATCATTTTACTAATAGATCCTTTTTCTAAGTTTAACAACGATTCTTTTACTTAAAATAATTTTGGAAAACTGTCCGGCCGGCCAGATACTGGATACTAACCATGTTCTTATGACTGGTGTAAAGTAATTATGCATGAAGTAAAAGTTACCGTAGACAAAAATTTTACCTTTTTATTTTTGTAATTTTTTCAACAGATTAAATGTAGTCATTTAAAAAGCGATTACTACTGAAATAGAGATATTTAAGGCATTTTTAAATTTATGTCGTTTTCCTCTTATACATGGAATGACCTATACCGAGGAAAAGTTTTTGTTTTCGTAACTCCGCTCTATAGATTGCATAAAAAATTTACAGAAATAGCACCTTGGCGAACAATAAAAAATTTATGATTTTCACCTTCCAAGATGTTCAAGTCAAAATTATTTATACAAATTGTTTAATATAATTTATACATATATTTTCAAATTGTTTTTACTTACGAGAAAGTTTGTTTGTATCAAAATTAAATTAAATTCTTGTTCTTTTGTATTGCAAAATTGTCAATGGAGGACCCGAACTCAACATTGTTGCCCTACATTTTGGAGAGGCTAAGCCAGAAACCGGAGCTATGTAATACCTACGAAAATATTGTTAATGAGCTTTAATTTAATATTGTATTTAAATTACAGGTGACACTTTCGACCACATCTGCAGAGAAATTGAGGAGCAACTAATTGCAGACAATAATACCCGTTATGGAAATGTTAGCAGCGCTTTGCAGCGCGCTCTTATGATTGGCCAATCTCTAGGCATTATAACTTTGACTAATGAAACTATACGTATGCCTTTTAATTTTCGTGCAAACGCCGCAAAAAAAGAAAAAAATGCCACAATGGCAAATCACCAAGTTCAGCAACTCGGAACTGGAAATCCCATAGCTCAGATCACAAATGCTAAGAATATCATACGGTCAAAGAAGCCAGTAATATTTATAGATATACATATGTATAATTAATAGCGTTGTACAAATCAGTAAAACTCTTGAATTCACCTTAGAATCGTAAGCTGCCTAACGACTTTGACACTCCTCCTGGGAATCCTGACTTTACGCTTGGACCACCGCGGCGGTCTAGGAAAGTGCGGGGGCGTCCAAGAGGACCCAGTTGCGCCAGACAAAGTGCAGGTGGGCGAAATTATTCACTAAGTAGATCTGGACGTGGGTATAAACGTCCCCGCAGTGGTTTTGGTGGGCAAGATTAATATGACGCTAGATTGTAGTATCAAACATGATTTTGCGTTGTTCAGAACAAATTTTAAATCAAGTTTATTATTGCCTTATTTCCTGTTAACTTGTGAAATGAAAATATGTTCATATAAGTAAATGTATTTAAATAAACGCATTTTAACCTCTCTAAGTGCCGTTTTCTCATGTAGATTTTAAAATATAGCCCAGTAAAATAAGACTCTCAAAAAAAATTTTTAACCAGTTTGCGGGATTTCGCCCTTTTTTCGGGATTTTATGACTAAAAAGGGCGAATGGGAATTTCTGTCGAAAAACGGGATTTTTTGCATACCATACCAAGCAATAAAATTTAGTGAGTAATGGATAAATAAGAAACAGCTCATTCACTTGAAATTAATTTTAATAGCAAGTTTTTGAGTTATACCTACAGAAAGTAATCTGGAAACAAGTGAAGTGCTTGAAGTTAGGAAAACGTCCCTGCGAAAATCGCGACTACTCCATGCATGCATGTAGAGAGTACTCCCTAAGGGCCATGGAGTATTCCAAAATTAACCACAATTCATATAAAAAATATGGTCCAATTAACATTGCGATGTCCTAGGGCAGGACCATATACTCCATCTCTGCATTACATCAGAGTACCACAAAACTACTCCAACATATTAACAATGGCGTTGTTGCTATATTTTTTTATAAGCTTTTATTTAACTNGTAAATATGTATGCATTTGGTGTTTTTCAGTCCTGAAGATGCCTTCAGATTGAAGGCGAAATATCGACAGCAATAAATGTAATAAATAAAACTACCAAAATCTATGTTTTATTTAATAACCGGCCTGGAGCTCAAAATTAACGAATAAATTATAATAAAAACGGCCAAAATCAAAAAACTAATCATGTTTACGTTTTACTTCAAAATTAACTTCTATTTTAACGAATTTCATGCCGAATTTCCACTAGGCATTAAAATGACAAAAATGTATGCCATTTAAAATAATTTCAGGTGGAAATGAACTTAATGATTATTTTTTTCACATAATGACACGATATTTTTTTAATGCCCTTTGTCATTTGTAATATTTACCATTTAATGCGTAGGGGAAATCCAACATGATGGAATTAATTTTTTATATGTATATATATTTTATGCAATGCGGACGTTTTTTTGTTTTTTATTTGGTATTCGCTGACTCTATATTTCCAGGGTTCGGAAATTCTCACTTATGATTATTCGTTTTCATTCAATTACGAGATTTATCGCGATCGATAATATCCCAAATCAATTTTTGCATTCTTTTATCGCGAGTGAAAAATGCAAACAAATTTATCATCTCTCACATTCGGAATGCGATCGACAAAAAAAAATTCCGCTGCTTGTCATTCGCGATCGAAAAAAGCACTACTGCGCTACTGTTCAGTAAATAACTATGCACTTATATAAGTACATGCATATAGATAAACACATATATACTTACATATGTATTAGCGTGGGCCGAAAATCGGCTNCAGGACCATATACTCCATCTCTGCATTACATCAGAGTACCACAAAACTACTCCAACATATTAACAATGGCGTTGTTGCTATATTTTTTTATAAGCTTTTATTTAACTTGGTCATCCCGCGCAAATCGCGGAAATTTCCAATCGATTTTAAACTGACTTCCGGACAAGTTAGAGACTTTTAANAAAAATGTATGCCATTTAAAATAATTTCAGGTGGAAATGAACTTAATGATTATTTTTTTCACATAATGACACGATATTTTTTTAATGCCCTTTGTCATTTGTAATATTTACCATTTAATGCGTAGGGGAAATCCAACATGATGGAATTAATTTTTTATATGTATATATATTTTATGCAATGCGGACGTTTTTTTGTTTTTTATTTGGTATTCGCTGACTCTATATTTCCAGGGTTCGGAAATTCTCACTTATGATTATTCGTTTTCATTCAATTACGAGATTTATCGCGATCGATAATATCCCAAATCAATTTTTGCATTCTTTTATCGCGAGTGAAAAATGCAAACAAATTTATCATCTCTCACATTCGGAATGCGATCGACAAAAAAAAATTCCGCTGCTTGTCATTCGCGATCGAAAAAAGCACTANACCACTATAAAATTGTTAAAGCTGCCGGCGCGCCGCGGCGGTAGTGTAGCAAAACTATTTGTGGANTCCCAAATCAATTTTTGCATTCTTTTATCGCGAGTGAAAAATGCAAACAAATTTATCATCTCTCACATTCGGAATGCGATCGACAAAAAAAAATTCCGCTGCTTGTCATTCGCGATCGAAAAAAGCACTACTGCGCTACTGTTCAGTAAATAACTATGCACTTATATAAGTACATGCATATAGATAAACACATATATACTTACATATGTATTAGCGTGGGCCGAAAATCGGCTTTTTTAGAATTTTGATTGGTAATAGCAAAAATATTGTTCATTATGCTCTAAAAACAATCTGTGTGAACTGTGAACATTTTTGGTCAATATCCTACGCTCGCCCAAGTCCATCAAAGTTCAAGTACTAAAAAAATTTGTTTCTTAACTAACTTCGATTCTCTACAAAAAAGGTCCATATACCAAATTGTGTGAGACTAATACTTTCGAAGATTATTGCAATTTTAGTAAAAGAAATGTATTAATTAATTAATTTTTATTTTTTTNTATCAACCTAGTCTAGATATGAGCCTCGTTGTAGGCATCATATCAAGGAGGGNAGATTATTGCAATTTTAGTAAAAGAAATGTATTAATTAATTAATTTTTATTTTTTTAGCATATTGCACTTTGATGGACTTGGGCGAGCCTAGGATATTGACCAAAAAATTCCAAATTTCACAGAGTTTTTTTAAAGCATAATGAACCATATTTTTGCTATTATATGTACATTCGTCGTTTAAAGTACAAAACCANGCCAAGTCTTCTGTTCTCTTTCATTGCAAGTTGAATTATTTTAATATCTATTGCAAAATTTTTTACATAAAATAAAATAACACTTTTTAATATACAACGCTTTTATAAATGGACTAAAACTTATAAAATAAAATAATGGAAAAAAAAATGNAACTGACATTGGCTGCCAAAAATTGGATTTGCTCACACAAGCTCTTGGCTCAATCCTTATCCATTCGTCCAAAAATATACTATCCAGAAATGTGACTGCTTTATAAAAGAGAGAACCAATTTGAAATATGAGTGTTTTTACGCTCTAGAAAATAATTTCTACAACTTCACATACGCGGTTTCGCATTTTGTTGATACGCGGTTTTGCACTTTAAACGACGATATGTATGTGTGCTAGTATGTTCTAAATATGTACTATGTACAACGTCGTTGAAAATTTTTCGCGATAAGTTTATCGCGATAAGCTGTTGTGAGTGATCGCGAATGGATTATTTGCATCGTTTTTCTCATTTATGAGAGACCGACATCGGCAATGCTCGGACTTCTCATAGTCGAGTGAGAGGAAATTTCTTTGCTTTTTTCGATCACGATTGAAAAGCAGCGGAAATTTTTTTGTCGATCGCATTCCGATGATAAGAAGAGATGATAAATTTTTTTGCATTTTTCACTCGCGATAAAAGAATGCAAAAATTTGATTTGGAATATTATCGATCGCGGACGTGAGAGAATTTGAGTGAGAATTTCCGAACCCTGTATATTTCACTTAATTACCCTTTAAAAAATATATAAAAAGAATTCTTAAGGGGTGAAAGTTTTTTATGAAAATTTGCATAAAGTTGGGAACTACAAATTTTTGGAGTTTTTTGTTGTATTATTAGCAATAATTTTGTATAGAGTCAATTTCAAGAGGCTTCTCTTAGGAGCCCTATAGTCGGATGGGAAAGGTCATTGAATTCATTGGTCTTTGCTTTCCCATGTAATTTTTTTTTTTTATCAATCAAAAATTCAAATTTCTTTAAATTTTTATAGATTTTCTGGGGCAAACCGTAGTGCAATATGCATGAATTGAGCAAAAATCGAATGTCGATTCTCGAATTTGAGCTAAAAAAATCAACAAAAATCGAATAGGAAGGGCTCGATTAAACGATCTTCGATTTAATCGATTTAAAAACATCTCTAATAAGCATTAAATTAAATATGTGTAGTCAAATCTAATTTACTAAGCAAACAATTATTGCAGTTTTAGGGGTTTTTGGCGGACCTATACAATATAGTTACTATGAAAAAATGGTTAAATAAAGAATTGGGTATTATTACTGGGAGTCTCCTGAAGAGAAAAATTACAAAAAGTTATTTTTCCCATTAAAAAAAAACAGAAAACTTTAAGCGCATTGAGCGACCACTAAATATTTTTTAATTTCAAATAAAAAATAGGGGTATATTTTTTCGGTATTGATAATCCTAGGGGATGAGAGCATTAAAATTCCGACTATACTTTTCCACACGTGCATTTTTGGCCCACACTAATGTAAATACTTGTGTTTTTTCATCCGAAAGCATTTTTTGTATAATGGATATAAACAGCGCGGGATTTCTGTTTTAACTTTAGTATAAAACGGGATTTAGGTTATATTTCGATGGGATTTTATTAACCCAGTCACTGGCAACACTGTTTGGGGGTAAGTTTTCAGCTTCCTATAATTTTTTGGCTGGGAGATATGCGTGTCCAAACTTGACAAATTGGAACAATATTTTTTTTTCAAAACTGAGAAATTCAAATGTGCAATTCAAATTGTTAATGTAAGAAAGCGGTATTGTATTTCGTTATTTTATTATGTGTAATTATGTGGTTTTTAAAAAATTTAGTTTAAAGAAAAGCTAAACTAACCTCTGTTTTTTCAAGTGTAATTTTCAAAATCAGTTTGTTTTTTAAATGCGAAAAGCGCTTTTAAATTTGACAGTACTGCAATAAAGTATGTTCCTTCCTTATTACGAATCCGAGCTCAAAACCAAAAGCACTTTGCGCATTTTGGTCTAAAAAATTTTACTTTGATTTTAATTAAACAAAAAAAATATATACTTCTGGTTAAGTTTGACTCTGTTTAATTTCGAACTTAAATTGTTTATTACATATTTT